AGGGCATAGGGGGTACGAGAGCTGGCTTTTGTCGGTGAAGATCCTCCTTAGCAGAGCCCTTGCCCACCGTTGCCCATGCAGAAAGCTCAGGCAGCCGTGGCCACAGCTTTTTATTAAAAATAGCTGTTGCCCGCAGCTCCTGGACACAATTACTCAGTCACCAGGTATCGGCTCCGCTGACAGGGAGGGTAATTAAGACGTGAGCGTTTCTCCTTCCCCGGCCACCACCTCTGCCCTGGCACGAAGCAGCCCTCCTCCCTACGATGCTCCTGCCCTCCCGGGCACTGCCGTGTCCCCGGGGACAAAGAGTGACAGCACCCCCTCCTTCCCAGGGCTCCTTCGCTCCGGTAAGGTTTTGGGCCGTGGTACAAATCGCTCCTCCACCCCGTGCTGGGAAGCATCATGCAATCATAGTGCTGGTGTCAGCCCAACCCCTCATTAAGTGCCATGCCCCCACTCGAGTAATTACTCCTATTTATAACCAAGCGTTCGCAGCCTGCCCTCGATAAAACCCCCGGCTGCTCCACCTCCCGCGCTCCTGTCGCTGACACAGAGCAGCAGCTATTTTTACCCCTCTCCCCTGGAGATGCTTCGCTCCCGATTCCAGTTGTGGGATTTAAAGAAACTCTGCCGCTCCTGCCACCCCCTTCCCGGGGTTCCTGGGGGCTGAAGCAGCGATGCTGGCACCTTCCTGCCAGGGCAAAGGCTCGCCGGGTCCCCCCTGGGTAGGAGACCGAGCGTCTGAGTGTGATCTCTTGTTACCCCTCTTCAGGCAGGAGACGCTCCGTGCTGGTGGATGTGGGATCCTGCTAATCCGGCGGGATCTCCGGAGCCCTCCAAGGACCTTGATCTATTGATCTCGCCAAAGAGTGGAGTAAAGCGTGATGCAGGGGGACCCATGGGAACAGCTTTGCAGACCAGCTCTTCCCAAGGACCAGGGTCTCGCTGCAAGCTGAGGCTGCACAGACCCAAAGGAGAAACCCCTTTGGGGAGGATCCATGTCCAAATGAGGCCCCATTGCTGTGAAAAGACCTTTTTTCCCCTGAATATCTGCTCCCGTCCGTGCTTTCCAGGGGCAGGGTGCTGGGCTGAGCCCACCCAGGGTGAGCGGAGTCGAGCAGCAGCTCCATGCAATGGCAACCCATGGCACCGGCTCCTGCTGCCCAGTAAAAAGAGAAACTATTCTTTATTTTCACACCAGCTATTTCGGATGGAAGCGCTGCGTTTCAAAGAGGAAACGCTGCTCTGAACTCTGCATTAACACCTATCAGGGTCATTTCCCACGGCGAGTTAAGGAAGCAAAGCAGCACTTAACATGCTCCTGCGCTCTGCGGTCCTGGGTGTCAAAGCGCTCGCAGATGGTTCAGGCCTTTGCAAACCCTCGAGCCGAGCTGGAAAAATGCCTTCCCATCCGTCTCCACATGCAGGTCAGGCCTGGGACAGAAAGGAAAATGATTCATCTTCTACTCCAACATAAATCCAGCAAGGGAGCCTGCTTGTGGGGAGCTGAGACCGGGCAGGGGGAGCGTCAGCCTTTAACATCCCCCAGGGCTGTGCAGCAGGAGCTGCGTCCCCTCCGTCTGTTGGGACAGCAGGTCTCTCGCCAGCCTGGGAACTAATCCTTCCTTAATATACTTACATTAGTATACTTGTACTTCCTTAATATAACGTATATCACCTCTGGGGGAGCTTGCGGCCGGACCTGTGGCTCTCCGGGGCTGCCAGCACCCCTGCTCCCCGGCCCTGTGTGCGGGGACACCGGGAGGACGTTAGCTCAAGTGCGCAGGGGTTTTCTTTGATTATAAGCAGCGGTGGGTGCCGGTCGCGACCCTGTGCCGAGCTCCTGCTGCCGGCTCACCCTGTGCCGGGCACGGCGGGCACGGCGGC